AGTCTTCACAGTATCATCTTGCGGCGAGCATGACAACAGAGACCAGCTCTACCCATAGCAACGTGCTGAGCTGGGTGGTGGACAGTGGAGCTACTCACAAACTCGTGCCCTCTAGTGGTCTTCTGAGGAACTGCAAGGCTGTAAAAAGTGGACGAACTGTTACACTAGCAGATGGGAGCAGACGGGCTTTGACTATGTCTGGCTCACTGTATTGTTCTTTTTTACAGCACGAGATTGAGGCTCTTGTCGTTCCAGAGATGTCTAGCTGGCTTCTATCCGTGGCTGCCCTTGTTGCCGATGGTTTTAGCATTTGTTTTGAGAATAATATGTGTTCTTTTTCCAGGGGTGGGTGTCAACTGTTCAGTGTTGAATGCAAAGACAGGCTGTTTGTGGTAGAAACGCCTATTGCAGGTAACAGTCCCATTGAGTCAGCACACATGCAGTGTGCCAATGTTCCAACACATGATGGCTGTCAGCATTTATGGCACAGACGTATGGCACATGTTAAGAAGGTCCCGGGGTGCACTGAGGGGTTTTTAGATCGCAGAGCTTGTAAGCAATCCAAGGTAAAAACGTGCTCTTACACTAGGTCTAACAGAGTGACAACCAGGCCTTTTGAGCTAGTGCATGCAGACTTGTGCGGCCCTATGCCAGTAGCCTGTCTGGGTGGGGCCAAATACATACTCTCAATTGTGAATGATTTTTTGAGGAATTCCTGGGTCTTCACGATTAAAAACAAAGGTAAAGCTGCAGCATTGGTGAAAGACTGGATCTCTGCTGTAGAACTGCAATTCTCTTCAAAGGTCCAGAGCTTTCAGTCTGATCGTGGTTCACCGGGTCTGCGCTGCAGAATTTCTTCCGCCAGAAGGGAATACACCACAGGCTGACAGTGCCACACAGTACCCAACAGAATGGCATTGCTGAACACAAGAACAGAACACTTCAAGAGGCTGTTGCGTCTATGCCCTTTGATTCTGGGCTCCCCCAAACGCTTTGGGGCTGAAGCCTGGAAGTGTGCTTCTTTTTCTCAGAATCACTCATTTTGTTCTGTTGTAGGGGCCACACCCTCTTTTCTGCTGCATGGAAAGAAGCCCAAGGTGCATTTCTTCCATGTTTTTGGTTGTGAGGCTTGGGTTCTTGTGTCAAAGGCCAAACACAGAAAGAGTGGACCAAGGTCCAGGAAGATGATCTTCTGTGGGTATGAACCAGGGACCTGTTAGGATATTTCTGTTCCACCTTAAAAGGGAGCAGGATGTTTGTGTCACAGCCTGCGTATTTCCTGTTCACAGGATGTTTCTGTTGTGTCTATGCTTTCGTTTTCTCTCTGTGTCTGAGACACTGAAGCAGGCAGTCATGTTTTTTCTTTGTTCTGACCAACGCTGAATAAACTTGTAAATATGCTCTCCTGAGTGCGTCTTTCGCTATGCGAACTCTGCTGATAGAGCGTGCATCAGCTCTGGAATGTGGCAAGCTATTTCTGGAGCTCGTGTCGCTAATTGCTGATACTGTATCTACAGGAGATCGATGGATAGTCCGGAGGCGACGTGGAGTCATGATGGACTTTGTCTCCCTGGCAGTATCCCAACAAGGGGTGGAGATTTGCCTATCCAGAAGGCAATCAGTCCAGGCTTCTAGTCAGCAGAAGTGCTGAGTTCTGTGAGCAAAGTGGGTGGACACGCACACATGGGAACCCAGATATACTGTCAGAGAATCTGCTTGACTCAGCTGATGAGGAAGAGGTGGAGCCTGATCCTGCTGCTGAGGAACAGAGTCCAGAGCAGAAGCAGCCTAGAGCCTCTACTAAAGCTGTCAAGTCAGAGCCAGAAAGTGCACCGTCCTCGCCCACAGGTCCAGTTGAGAAGTTCAAAAGGCGCAGCAAATCAGAGGGGGAGCTCTCTGACGCCAAGGATGATCTAGCTGGCCCTGGTGGATCAGAGGGGGTACCTGAGCTCACGCTGAGGCGTTCGACTGGGGCCACTAAAGGTAAACCACCTGACAGGTTTGAGGCCACAAGTGTATGGGTTGGAGTGGCTCAGTGTGAACCTAAAAGTTTTGAGGATGTTCAGAAACTGCCTCAGGAAGAAGCCAGCAAATGGCAAAAGGCAATGCAGAAGGAGATGAGCTGAGTGGAGTCTCTAGGTGTGTTCTCCCTCACAACGTTGCCGGCTGGCAAACAGGCTGTGAGCAACAGGTGGGTTTATTGCCTTAAACCCACAGCAACTGGAGAACCACAGTACAAGGCTAGGTTAGTAGCCACAGGGTTCACGCAGCGGAAGGGGCTGCATTACATTGAGGCGTATGCTCCTACTTCCCGAAGTGAAACTCTGCGCATGCTCTTAGCCATTGCTGCACAAAGAGGTTTGCTGGTGCATCACTTTGATGTGGATGTAGCCTACTTGAACTCAGACCTCCAGGAGGAGCTGTACATGCTTCCTCCTCCAGGGTTTGAGGGCAATAGGCAAGGCATTGTGTGGAAATTGCACAAGTCAATTTACGAGCTAAAACAATCTGCCAGGAATTGGAACTTGTGTCTGAATGAAGCCTTAGAGAAGCTAGGTTTCAAGAGGAGTCTTGCTGACAGCTGCCTGTACCTGAAAGGGTCAGGAGAGTCACAGGAAATGATCTTAGTTTTTGTCGACGACATTGTATATGTCTCAAAGGCAAATAAACAGGTGGAAACGTTTGCCAAAGAGCTTGGAAAACGTTTTCAGCTCAAGAACCTAGGTGCAGTAAAGATCTACCTAGGTGTGCAGATAGACAGGACTGAAGATGGAAGTTTCTTGCTCAGTCAGAAAGGCAAGATTGAGCAGTTGCTTGAGAAGTTCAGAATGTCTGAATGTGCAGAAGTCAGGACACCCATGGAGACAAGCTACATGCAAGACAGTCAGCAAGTAGAACGCACTGTGTTCGAAAATACTGAGCTCTTTCAGTCAGCTCTGGGTAGTCTGTTGTATCTGTCCCAGTGGAGCAGACCTGACATAGCTTTTGCTACCAATCTGCTCAGCCGGGAAGCTACAAACCCAAGTGTACAGGCCTGGAATGGTGTCAAGCGGGTACTGCGTTACCTGCAAGATACCAAAGACTTCTGTCTCAAGCTGTCAGCCAAAGGTGACGTCAAATTGACGTGCTGGGCAGACAGCGATTGGGCGAACCTGGAGGACAGGAAGTCTGTATCTGGTATGGTGGAGAAGCTCGGGGACTCTTTGGTTGGGTGGAAGTCCCGAAAGCAAAGTCTCATAGCGCTCTCCTCTACTGAGGATGAGTTCAGTGCGCGGTCTGAGATTTTTTGGGAATTGGAGTTCTATGTATGCTTGGTTCAAGAGATCTGCGGAGAGTGTTGCTTGCCCATCAAAGTTTGGGAGGACAATCAACCCTGTCTGAAGTTGGCAGAGTCTGGGCAGTTTAAGGCCAGAACCAAACACCTAGACATCCGTTTCCAAAATGTGTTTCAGAGTGTTCAGTTGGGATTGGTGCAATTGAAGTACTGTCCCAGTTTGAAGAACCTGGCAGATGGGTTCACGAAACCGCTGACCTTCCAGCATCATGGGGAGTTCTGTGAAGGTCTGTGTTTGGGGTAAGTGGTCACACCTACACACCCCCAGTGCAGGACAAGAGGGGGTGTGATGTTTGGAGCTTACAGGGTTAACAGCTCTGTGTGTGTCCTGCATCTGGGGAGGAGCTTTTCTCTACATCCGGGAAAGCTGAGTTCTTTGTGAAAGCTGAGTTCTTTCATTTTTCTGCTGAGAGAGATGGAGAGACACCATGCCTGCCGTCTCCGATGGTCTGTTTGTTATTTTATTGTTCTGATGTAAATAAAGCTGTAAGTTAGAGGAACAACAGTGTGTGGACTCTCTCTTCTGCAAGCTCACTCACATAAGAAGCACTCGCTGTGCTGCTCTGCTGCAAGTCCGGGAATTCTGTTCCTGTGGAAACATACCGGACCCACAGTAACCTTAGTATGTAGGGCACTTAGAAACACAGTGTCCATCATATCTGTGAACTCCTTCACATTCCTTAGCGCTGCATGATTTCCAGCCATCAAAGGAACCACCCACTCTTTAGCATTTCCTTCTAAATGAGCGGTTATAAAGGCAACTTTCTCCTCATCCGATCTAAAGTCTTTCCTTCTCAGTTCCAGCACATATATCTTCTCAGTTCTGAAGCTAGAGTATCGCTGGCTGTTACCATCAAATTTACTGAGGTGCAAGGGGATAGTCCTGCTAGCATTGTTCGCTCTCTCTGCTTCCAATAGTGCAAGCTGTGTCTCCAGCTTGCCTGCAAGTTCTTCGACTTGCGCCTGCAACAAGAGGTTCTGCTGCCAGACCATCTCCATCAATAACCCTCCTCCGGCTCCCCCAGCTGCTCCCTTCAGCTGTTCGGACGTACCTTTTTTGGCTTTTGATGGGTCTTTCATGGCTCAGCTGCCTTCTGCCTTTGCGAAGAGAATGGAGACTCCCAGAATGCTGTGATGGCTTGTGAATGCTCTTTGCAATAAGTACCTCTGCTCACTCAGAGAGATATATACAGTCTTTATTTTACATATGTACAGACAGCGCATTACAATCATGCATCTGAATCCTCCAGTTCAGATTCTGGGAGTGGCCTACACCGGCTTCTCCTCCAACAGAAAAGGCGGGGAAGTTTCATGTGATGCCTCTCCCCCCTCCTCTTTAACTCCCTCCTTTCCCTGGCAGACGGAATAGGCATTGTCTCACTATCTGTGCCAGAACTTCCTGTGCGGTGTTGAGGCTCTGGTTCAACATCTGAGAGCCTTTCCGCCTCCTGGCTTTCTCCTCTTTCCTCAATCGCCACTTCCTGCTCACCTCCCTCTGCCTGTTCCTACTCCTCCCCTGCATTCTCTGGCAGTACCATGACAACAGCACACAGACACAAAGCCAATCTTTCAGCATTTTTTTACATCTAGAAGAGATATGGGGCAGAGACAGAAACATGCATGATTAACCCAGCCAAGGCCAGCCCATGTCAAGACAAGAGTGCCATCAGTCTGAGCTTGCTGCTAGCCTCCAGCTGGTCACCAGCAACCTTACCTTGTGCATGATCTTGCGGTTGTAGAACATGACTTTGTCTCTCTTGCAAAACATGTACTGAGGCACATGTGGCTGAGGTTGCTCTGAAAGAGAGAAGGCTCATCATCCTGTAGCTCCTTTGTGAAGAGTGAGAGCCTAAAACACACAAGCGCAGCTTGCCCACTTACCCCTGTACAGCTAAGCCACTGCCCTGGATGGAGAGAAATATCAGGCCAATACACTCTAACCTCTCCCCCTGGGTCAGAATGTTGGGAGGCCCATTTATGTTTTGAGATGTTTGTAGGCTCCAACATTTGGGTGGTGGTGGTGGGGCTTCTGACAAGATGCCCTCAGTAGACATCCTCCTCACCACTGTCATTACCATACATTTGCTTGCTTGTTTCCTCTGGACCCAATCCATAAAACTGCCCAGATGGAGAGACCAAGGCAAATGGAGGGTGCTGTTTCCTCGCTCTTGTCACCACCTACATGCTCAGAGAAGGGCGGGTGAACAGGTGCCATCAGCAAGGTAAAGGAGGACCAGCATGGAGGAGTCATGACCCAAGCTCCAGGTGCCCAATGAGGCAAGACCCTACCACCATGTTTCCAGAGTTTATGATGAAAGCACACTTCCAGGGCATGCTCCTAATAGGATGGTTTTTAATGCTACCTCCAGAGGTATGAACTCCAAATCCCAGCAGCCCCAGCCAGAATGGCTAATGGTCAGGGATGATGGGAGATGTAGTTCAACAACATCTGGAGGGCTACAAGTTCCCCACCTCTATTTTTTATCTTAAAGGGAGAGTAGATAAGAAAACAAGAAAGTAAGAAGTAGTATGCTGCTTGCTTTTTTATGTTACCACTATAGTAAGAATTCACAGCATGTTTTTGTTAGCTGCACAAGTTGAATAGATAAAAAGCACTGGAGGGGAGTACTGAAACCTCCTCTGGCCTGAAGAGAAGCTGGGCTCAATCCCACACTAACTCAACAAGTGGATGGTGGAGCTCCGTGCTTTATTTACATGCTCTTTTGTTTTTTGTTTTTTTTTAAATAATATTTATTGAAAGTTTAAGAATTAAAGGGGGGAAAAGAAAAAAAGAAAAAGAAAAAATAAACAGTACAAATCAACACATTACAATACATATACATAAAAAAGAAAAGCATAAAAAACACGATACATCAAAACAAAAGCAAAAACAGTTAAAAACATATCCAATATTTCCATATCTTTATCTTTCATTAACTTGTTTCATCGACCTCCTCACACCTCCCTTTTTGTATTCTAGTTGTTAATTATTTCAGCAAATCCTTTCCTTCTTTCACTATTTCCTGTCATTTGACTATCTTAATTTATTTTAACCTTATCTTACCATTAAAACCCTAAAACTTATTTATACTTAACTCCTTATAACATTTCTACTAAAACCATATAATTTCATTCCAACATTTTTCTAACACTCATTAATTTTGCAACATTTCTCTAAATAGTTTTTTTTAAAAAAAATATGCTTTTTTTCCAATCCTCTTCCACCGTCTCCTCTCCCTGGTCTCGGATTCTGTCAGCCCTTTCTATCAATACCATATAGTCCATTAACCTGGTGACCTTCTGTCCGAGGCTCTTAACTCTCTTCCCTGTCCCTTCTGCAGATCTTCTTCATATATATCCATGCACATTACTTTGTCTTCTGCTGATCTTGGTCTTAATTTCCTTCCTTTGGCACTGAGGAGTAGATCTCGGGGGAGCTCCAACCTAGCAATGTCTTTATTCCTTCTCAACAGGTCAGCCCATTCTCCATAGTCAGAACTAAAGTCCAAAAGATATTTCAGAGCGCCACTCTCCCCCTGACCCAAATCCAGGTCCCAAAGGCCAGAGCATCCCTGCATAGGAGGATCTAGCCAACTTTCCTTCTCCAATCCAAGCAGGGCTCCATCCCACCAAATCTGACTTTCTCTAGATTCGATCATAAAAGGCAACAGCTTATGTTCATCAAATTGCCTCTGGGAGACCGGGGCTCCCTCCACTTGAATTACTTGAAATTCAACAACAACTTTCTCCTTCGTCTTCTCCACAGCTTGCCATGTCAAAACAGATTCCTGGGTCAATTCCTGAGTAATTTCTGTATAAGTATTCCCTTTTTGTCCCAACTCGGTCAATTTTTGTCCCAAATTGTCAATTTTAATAATCCTCACATCCATCTTCTCATGAAGCTGTTCCAATAAAGCACTTGTCTTGCAAAATGCAATCACTAGGGCTTCTTCTGTCAACATTCTTGTCCAAGGTCAAACTCTAGTTCTCACACTCTTTAATCTCTGCAGCTGGAAAATTCCCCAGCTCCACTCCTGCAACAGTTCCAAAAGCTCCCTCTAAAGGGAACAATTTCTATTTGTATCCATCCTTTTAAGCACAGATCCAGCCACCGAGCTAGTTTCAATTTTCAGTTACTTTTTTTCCTCCTTTTTAAATATAAAAGGAAACAATTGAAACAATGTATTGCTCTTATTTAACTGTCAACATCGTTTTGTTCTCAGTCAATGAACTTTCCCAAAGCGTCAATCTTACTGACAGTCCGTTCCCAGGTTCGAAACGGTGGTGATTTATCTTTCTTCACTCTCTCTCCTGCAGGCTTAAACAATAGAATTTCCCCCCTCTTCTCCTGCTTCCAAGGGGGGTTTAGTTATTTTAACCGATGGAGATTTAATCCTTTACAGAAAACTTTCCAGGCTTTAGCTTGCAACGTCTTTGCTTTACTCTATTTACAAAAGAGGAAGGCAGACTTCCTGTTTGAGACCTTCCCGTTTCGATGCCAATTTAAGAAGTTTAGAAATCCAATTTTCCGTTCTACTCACGGGTAGTTGTTTAGAGTCCAATTGTCCACAGGAAAAAGTCAGCGCTCTCTGGCAACAGCAATGCGGCTTCACTCCGTGAAAGAAGCAGTCGATTTGAAGCACTGCGCCGCTCACCCCACGTCGCTCCGGATCTCCGAAACCGGGTTTCCCCGCGAGTAGGGGAGGCGCAAAAGGTGCCAGCCGAATCCCACATTCACAGGCTTCTCCTGCCTGTGGTTTTTAGTGGGTCTCCGCCTCGCCGTGGCGGTTCAGACCCTAATTTCCACCGAGCGGATTTCTCCCAATCAGAGGAAATCCGCCATTGCCAGAGGCGCTAACCAGGAAGTCGATCTATTTACATGCTCTTTTGAGCATTAATATGGGATCACACTGCAAAGGAACCCTCCAAATTCTATGACAGCACGTCAGCTCTCAACCAAAGTGATCAGACTTACTTGATTGCTTCACCTTCCTGTAAACAAAATACACAACGATCCCAATGAGCAGCAGGGCAACTGTTGCACCGATGATTATTCCAGTTAACTGTGGGAAGAAGAGACAAGAGGAGTCTTAGGCATTGACATTCTTCTCCACCTAGGGGACTTCCGGGGTGGCGCCATCGGCAATGGCGGACTCCCTCTGAATTGGAGGGACCAGCTCCGCGCGAAACGGGTCTTTTCCGCTACGGCGAAGCGGGGACCCTTTTAGAAATCACAGGCGGATGAAGCCTGTGACCATGGGACTCGGCGGGCACCCTTAGCGCCCCCCCAACCCGCAAAGGAACCCACTAACGGGCTCCGAAGCGAAGAGGGGGAAGTGGCGCAGTGCTGTGAGTCAATTGCTTTTTCCGTGGAGCGAAGCCACATAGCCATTGCCGGAGAGCGCTGCCTTTTTCCTGGGACAATTTGGCATCTAAAATAATCACCCGTGAGTACTTAAACATTGAACAATTGGACTTTAAATAAGAACTGGCGAGCAGAAAGGAACTGGACTTAAAAATACACTTCAATTTGGTACTGAAACGGGAAGGTCTAAACAGGAAGTCAGCCTTCCGTTTCTTTGTAGTCAGAATAAAGCAAAGACAATGTAAACTAGAGCTTAGAAAATCACTTCCAAAGGATTGGCTTTCATCATTTAAAATTGTTGAACCCCCCTTCGGTAGCAGGAGAAGAAGGGGGATCTTTTTTGGACTGTTTAAACCTGCAGAAGTGAGTTTAAAGCAAAGTAACTTTCCACCGTCCTGATCCTGGAGCGGGGTGTCAGAACTGATGTTTGAAGCTCATTGACCAGAGACAAATGTCTCTGACAGATATCTAAAAGAAGAGAAACATTGTGATTCCATTGTTTCCTTTCGCATTTTAAAGGAACAAATATTGACAAAATATCCTAAAAAAGAAACTTTGTTGCTATTGTCCTTAAAAGAAAGAACAACCAGAAGTTTTCCCCCTAGAGGGAGACTGTGAAACTGTAACTAATTCCAGGGAGCTTGCAGCTGCCACAGATTACAACCGTGGGAAAGGACTTGTGACCTTGCAGGACAATGTTTTCAGAAGCTCTGTTGTGTGCTCTCTGTAAAACAAATGCCCTATTGGATCAGTTAAGTCAGAAGACGGATTTGATGACTAATGCGGTCAGAACTTTTGAACAGGTAGTGGGAAACTATATGGAGCCCACCCAGGAACTAAAACAGGAGTGTGCCCTGACAGAACAGATGAGAGAAGAGGACGTTGCTGAATCTTGGGCGCCAGAAAGGGAGGGATTTTCGGCCCTGCAGGAATATGAGCCTTTGGATTTAACAAATGAACTTGGAAAAAACCAGATTTGGAAAGATAAAGTTTGGATTGGTTTGGAAATGGGGGGTTGGACTGACCCCCCCATGCAGGGATGTTTGGACTTTCCAAGTCTGGCAATGGGCCGTCAGATGTTTGGAGCTGTGGGGGCTCTCAATTTTGGAGGGAATCTGAAACATGTCTTTAAATACCACATGGAGTTTAGTCTGGACTATGGAAAAGGGGCTGATTTGTTGAAAAGGGTCAAAAACATTACCAAGCTGGAGTTCCCACGAGTGAAAGGAAAATATGAGGAAGGGACATGGAAGAGACTTGAGGGCCTCGGATATAAGGTCACCAGGTTAATGCGCTAGATCAATGGGATAAAAAGGACTGACAAAACCCGGGACCAGGAGGAAGGGACGCTGGATGAAGATTGGATTGTTTTTATTTCTTTTTTTTTCTTACTAGGATTGTTTTATAAAATTGATGAATGTTAGAAAAATGTTGGAACGAAATTACTTGGCTCTAGTATAAATGTTTAAAGAATTAGGTAAGAATATTATGGTTATGAGAAGTTGGTAAAAATAAGATTTAAGTTTTAAGTTTTAAGGTTTTCTATAAGATAAGATGAAAATAGATTAAGGTAATGTAATGACAGAATATTATGAATTATGGAAAGGATTTGCTGCGATAATTATTAATTAGGATACAAGAAAAGGGAGGAGGAGGTCAAAGAAAGAAGGTAATGAAAGTGGAGAATTTGAGAATGATGGATTTATTTTTTCTTTTTCTGTTTTGTCTTTTTTTGTAATTTAAAAAAAATTCAATAAATATCATTTTTTAAAATAATAATGACATTCTTCTCCACCTAACCCTTTCCTCAAGCCGTACTAGGAACACATTTCTGAGGAGGAAAACATCTGTTGCAGCTGGCAAAGTCAACCAAACAACTAATTATTATTTGTTCCATTTATTTAAAGTGTGATTTCTAAACCATCCTTCATCAAGAGAGATGCCAGGGTCATTTACACATCTGTCTTTCTGAAACATGGTGGATAACATTTTTCACCCAGAGGGCTGCATTCCCTTTTGGGCAACCTTCTGGGGGTCAAATGCCAGTGACATGCTACACTTAGACCATTATTGGATACAACCATATATTTATTGTATTTTCATCTTGAGTTTTGTGGTTCCCCTCTAAATACCATATCATAACTGACTGTCAGAACTGACTGTGCTGTTGTGCTTTGGTGAGTGTGACAAGTTTCAGCCATCCTCCTCAGCTTTGGAACTGGAGGGCAGGGCAGGGATGTTCGTTTACTCAGGACAGAAAATAAGAAGCACTTCTTCACACAGTGTGAAATTATGGCCTTCATAACCACAAGATGCCAATTTGAGATAGCTTTAAGAGGGGACAGAGAATTTTTTTCTCCTCTCATAACACTATAACTCGTGGACATTCAATAAAGATGAATGTTAGGACATTCAGGGCAGATACAAGAAAGTACTTCTTCGTGCAATGTATAATTAAACTATGAAATGTGCTCCTGCTGGAGGTGGCAAAGGCCACAAACTTGGATGGCTTTAAAAGAGGATTGGACAAATTCATGGAGGATAATTCTATCAATGGCTACTAGCCATGATGGGTATGTTTTGCCTCCACAATAAGAGGCAGTATGCTTCTGCACACTACTTGCTAGAAACAGCAGAAGGGGAGATTGCTCTTTTCCTCAGGTCCTGCTTGTGGGATTCCCCACAGGCATCTGGCTGGCCACTGGAAGAACAGGATGTTGGACTAGACAGACCAATGGCCTATTTCGGCAGCAGACTCATGTAATGTTCTTATGATTAGACATATTTATGAAGAATAAGGCTAGAAATGGCTACTAGCCATGATGGTTGTGTGTCACCACCATGATCAGAAGTAGCATGCCTCTAAATATTTATGATTGGGGTACACTGCAGCAGGAGGGCACTGCTACCCATACGCTGCTTGCGGGCTTCCCACAGGCATCTGAACACCATGAGAATAGAATCCTGACCTAGATGGGCCTTTGGTGTGATCCAGCAATTTTCTTAGGTTAGTTCTGAATGTGATTCAGGGGACTGTCCCTGACCCTGTGCTACATTTTGAAAGCCCCAGCTTGAAGGCCACACATAAGCCTCCTCTTGGTAGAGTGTCATGACTTAAACATTTTGAGTTGGCCACCAAGCCCAGTTACAATGTGGGCCACAAAAAAAAGAGTAAGTTATAACACTCCTCAGTTTTCCCACAAAAGAACTTCTGATTAGGTTACCATAGTAAAGGCTGGTCCATTAGAGCAAATGAGGCACAGCCTCATGAACCTCAGTCTGCCCAGACAGCCCTCACGTGTCCTGCCTTCTTACAACCAGTCCAGGGGATGGCACTGTTGGGATGCAGCCAAGGAACCGGGGGCGATTGGCAGGCCCCCAGCTGGCCCCAGCCCACTGGCTGGTGTGCCAGGCGATCTCCAGTCCTTGGATCAGCATGAAACTGCGACCCGAGCTTCAGATGCCTTCAGAATCTGAGCACGCAAGCCAGCACAGTAAAACGCTTTGCAACAGAAGGGCAGGGAGAGGCTGTGTGAGCATATTTACAAGCAGTTTATTCAGAATATGTTAGGACAAAGGAAACATATCTTCTCTCCTTAACTTCCAAAGCAAGAACAGCTAAAAGCCATAGCTATACACAAACGGAAGTTCCCAGCAAGCTGTGCTGGAGTGTAAATAGGCATGTGACGCACAACAGTCATGCCTGTTCCTAAAGGTAGAACGGAATATTCTAACATCCTCCCCCTTTCCGTGTAACCTGTGTCACCTGTGTCGCAGTATTTCAACCCAACTGCAACCGCTGTACATAAACCTTAAGTTGTTCTCTGTTAACAACCTTAGACAACAGATCTGCAGGAATTTTGTTTCCTGGCATGTAGGACAACTGAATGAGTCCTTTCTGGACTCCCTTGCACGATGTAACTTAATCTGCAAGTACTTGGTTCTTTGCTTGCAACTCTCTGAGGCTAGAAAAGCCAAACAGGACCTGTTGTCTTGATACACCTGTATAGGATACACCATAGTAAAGGCTGGTCCATTAGAGCAAATTGTTGGTTTCTCTGTGTTGCCACTGTGCAGTGCTTGGAGTCACAAGACTCTGTTTACATTCCAGAGATTCCATACTGTTGGAAGTCTCACGGGAGACAGATGTGATGTTACTGGTTTCCTGTTCCTTTGTTGTTCAGTTGCTTTCTGCTTTCACAGAGAGGGGATGTGTTTCTTTTCTGTCTGCGTCGCTAGAAAATAAAACCTTGCGATGTAGCTCATAAATCTCATCACTTCTGCTGCTTTGAAACTCTGCTGAATGGGAACGTGCTTGGAGCCTTATCAGAGGCTCAGGTCGTTAATCACGTCGGAGGGCGATTCCGGAGGAGCTCGGTTGAACGCAGGTTCCGACACAAATGAGGCACAGCCTCATGAACCTCAGTCTGCCCAGACAGCCCTCACATGCCCTGCCTTCTTACTTACAACCAGTCCAGAGGATGGCACTGCCTGTCAGCTATCTCATCCTCCTAAGTGTTGCCCTTTTAGAACTGATTCAGGAGGAGGAGGACAAAACTAGAATTGGTTGGCTCTGTGTCTCATTGGCTCTGGCTCCACCTACTATTGGGCTCCTTGCCTTCTGCTCTTCACACGTAAGATGGCACGAAAAATGGGGAGTGCAAGACACTGCATAAAAGAAAGGATGGGGGCTAACAGATTGAGGTTGAATCCTGACAAGACAGAAGTACTGTTTTGGGGGGACAGGGGGCGGGCAGGTGTGGGGGATTCCCTGGTCCTGAATGGGGTAACTATGCCCCTGAAGGACCAGGTGCGCAGCCTGGGAGTCATTTTGGACTCACAGCTGTCCATGGAGGCGCAGGTTAATTCTGTATCCAGGGCGGCTGTCTACCAGCTCCACCTGGTACGCAGGCTAAGACCCTACTTGCCCGCAGACTGTCTGGCCAGAGTGGTGCATGCTCTAGTTATCTCCCGCTTGGACTACTGCAATGTGCTCTACGTGGGGCTACCTTTGAAAGTGACCCGGAAACTGCAATTAATCCAGAATGCGGCAGCTAGACTGTGACTGGGAGTGGCCACCGGGACCACATAACACTGGTCCTGAGAGATCTGCATTGGCTCCCAGTATGTTTCCGAGCACAATTCAAAGTGTTGGTGCTGACCTTTAAAGCCCTAAACGGCCTCGGTCTTGTATACCTGAAGGAGCGTCTCCACCCCCAGCGTTCAGCCCGGACACTGAGATCCAGCACCGAGGGCCTTCTGGCGGTTCCCTCATTGCAAGAAGTGAGGTTACAGGGAACCAGACAGAGGGCCTTCTCGGAAGTGGCGCCCACCTTGTGGAACACCCTCCCTTCAAATGTGAAGGAAATAAGCAGCTATCCTATCTTTAAAAGACATCTGAAGGCAACCCTGTTTAGGGAAGTTTTTAATATTTAATGCTATATTGTTTTTAACACTTGATTGGGAGCCACCCAGAGTGGCTGGGGAAACTCAGCCAGATGGGTGGGGTATAAATAATAAATTATTATTATTGTTGTTGTTGTTGTTGTTGTTGTTGTTGTTGTTGTTGTTGCCTTCTGCTCTACCAGTTCCAATGGGCACCAGCCACCACTACACCACTGAGGAGACACAAAAGCAACATAGCTACCTTAATACGTAAGACGGCACGAAAAATGGGGAGTGCAAAGCACTGCATAAAAGAAACCTGAAGCCAGATCAAGACCCAGTTAAGCTCTTTGGTGCCTTTCAGAAGCATCCTGTAGCCTTATTAGACTTTACCGACTGCTGGGGTTTGCATTGCTCCCGGGAGGGAGGAAGGAAGACACTGAGGTCAAATGACACCCCAGGAATTCAAGCACGTCAGCTTATACACGTAAGTTGACATCCATGACCATAAACAGTTATTCCTGTTCCGGCACTTTTGACCATAAAAGGTTGTTCCTCTTCCTATACTCTTATCTTGGGGCAGGAGGTCACCAACTCTAAGAACGCTCGTGGCACCGTTCCCGGGTCTCTTGTCAAACTTGACAAGGTCTGTGCGTCTTTTGTGGTCAGGATGTAAGATAAGACCCAGACGCTCCATCCCTGCTCTACTGGAACTGGTATGGCCACTCATTGCTGTCACGGACTGATAAGGGAGAGGACTTTGAGGACTTGTTTATACAGCTGGCTTTCTGTTTATGCATTGACTCAAGAGCTCAAGTTAATGCATTTTAGAAATGCTCCCTTGGAGGAGGAAAAATGGGGATTTTGGGTCAGTTTCAAACTGACCGAACAGAAACCCATTCCTTCAATCCAAATTAAACAAACACACAGGCTCAAACGTTACCATAGTAGTCTGCATTTGATCTTGTACGAACTGAAGAACTTGTGTTCTTAGGTCTAAACTTGAGGAGTTGACCTAAAGGACAAGAACACCAAGGGTATAACACAGATTGAAGGCAACAGCTCCCCATCCCCCAGAGATGTGTCTAAATGAGAGTTTACAAAGCACATGTTGGCTGAGCTCTCTAGTTAAAGAGAACTAGAGCCATTCCCTGAGAGTAAAAGAATCCAAGTACAGTGGTACATCTGGTAGCGAACGGGATCCGTTCTGGAGGCCCGTTCGCAACATGAAAAGAGCACAACCCACAGCGGTGTGTCTGCGCACATGAGGGCTGTGATTCGCCGCTTCTGCGCATGCGCGTGACATCATTTTGCGCATCTGCACATGCACGAGCGGCGAAACCCGGAAGTAACCCTTTCCGGTACTTCCGGGTCACCGCAGGACGTATCCTGAAAGAACGTAACATGAAACAGACGTAACATGAGGTGTGACTGAAGTTGGAAAATCAGACCCTGTGCTAATGCTTTCATAGTTGCCTTAATGTTGTGTTAGGGAGGGAGAGAAGGGAATCATCTGCCTTAAATGATGTTGTCCCCCTCTCATGCTGGAGCCAGGATGAAAAAAAAAATGATGGCTGGTACTCAGCTGGCTTGGAGTTTAGAACAGTCACTGTGGTATTATTATTATGCTATGCTCTATACCAAGGATGCCTCATCAAAAATGAGGAAGTGATTGGATTCTGGAACAAGGAGGTTGGCGAGTTTCAGATGTTCTCTCCTTCCCTTCCAGCATGGAGACCTGGGACAAGATCTAAATAGCTATTTTAGAACCACCCAAAGACTTGGTACAAATTAGCATGATAAATACACACACTAACCCTCAATGTGTATAGAGTGAACAGAGTAAACAGCTTCAAGTTCATCTAAAAGATGGCAAACAGCAAGTAGTTGGGGGAGGGAGAAAAGCCTCAATATTTTATCAGGATGTTTATTTAGAAATCAAATATTCCTCAAGCAGTAAGTTGGATCTAAAAGATAACACTCAGAAAACACACTCACACCATTTGTATGTTTTATTATCATACAATATCACCTCTCTGCATGGCACTTTATTAAATTAAAGGGCTTACAAATCTGTAAAGTCACACAAAGGAGACAACAGAGGCAGGGGGAGGGGGAAATGGAAGCAGCGTTGAACCAGGGAAGAATAGGCAATTATTCCAGTTGCATGCATACAGTACAAGGGAAGAATAAGCAAATATTGAAGTTACATGCACTTAGGTTTAGCAGGCATAAGGCATAGTATGAGAACTAGCAGGTAAATACCAAATTCTTCACAGAAGTGGGTTTTGAGGAGGAATATGGAAAAAGGTAAGAGATTGGTCAGTCAGAGGCATTCTCAAAGACAATTCCAAAGAGCGCTAAAGGGGCAAGTACAGTTGTTTGAGTAACATGAGTAAGCAAACCATCAGTAAGCAAAGTTATGAGTTCCACTTTCCTGGATGGCAAGACATTGTGGCCATCACACCAGGACAGTTAGAAAGCAATCTTCAGTTTTAGGTTCATATGTGATACACATCAGAAGTAGGCTCATACAGCATAGGGGGAGCATTTTCAGTGTAAACAAAAGTAGTCCCTAACAGATGAAACACAGGACATTTGATATATTAAAATACAAGAGCAAAAAAAATAGGACCATCTGAAAGGTGGGTGGAAGCAAGAGGGGAACAAGAACCAAAACAGGGATATCAACAGTGGAACCAATAAGCAAGGGATGGGGAAGCTGTGGCCCTCCAATGATGTTGGGCCTATTGCCCACATCATCCCTGACCACTGGCCATACTGATAGGGGCTAGTGGGAGTTAAGAGTTTAACAACATCTGGAGAGCCACAGGTTCCCTATCCCTGCTCTAAGCACACCTGGACAGCAGAAATGCCTCTGGACAGTATTCAAATGTGAGAACAGAAGACAGGGGTTACTCTCTATGCTCTCACAATGGTGAATGGGCAGCCAAGTGTGGGTGCCTCAGGATAAGTGATATAATTGCAAAGGAATTGGTATATTAAGCAGTGTTATAGAAATAAACAAGAACTTCCTGGGAAGTGACAACTTTCTGGCTGTATGAGATCCAAATTTCAACTAGAGCACCAGCTTTCTTCTAACAGAGACCATACAAATGCTTTCAATGACGTTCACAAGCAAGGATTGAATGCAATATTCTCCCCAGTTTTATGCCCCCAGGATCAAGTTGTGTGGCAAGACCCCTCCCCCATGTGAAATGAAGACACTGGACACATTATTTAAGGTTAATGGGCATAAAAAGGCCACAACTTTATTAATTACAGAATTGAAAGGTATTGGCCTTAGGCATTGGCTCCTATTGACTACCCGGCATGCAGACTGGGAAGGGTTAACCACAAACCGTGGGAGTCCTGTTGAAGTACGCCAACTAGGATCCCACGGGTGTCACCGCTCGGGGGCTTGCCGGAGGCCCTCACCTCCCTAGGTTTCGGACAAGGCAACGCCCCCCGGAGTCCTCTACCGGACTACCCTTTCCTTGGGGGAAGGTGATGGCGCTTCCTTCCCCCCCATTCATTTGCATAACAATAAACCCCTGCCAATGCCTAACCGCCACTCGAGCAAAGCTCGCCGTCAATACCTTCAAACCTGCAACCAACTCCTAATCCCTGCTATGATGTCCCCCAGCCAAATATCGTTTCCAGCATCTGACAGATGCACGCCATCCCATCTGTAGAGGGCCTCGTTGCTGTACTGGATGCCTGGGTGTCCTATGACGCACCCGCCCAGAGCCGCCACTCTACGTTCCACAGCCCGCTCCAAGACCTTTCTTGCTTTATTGATTCCAACCGGGCTCACACAATCCCTCCATGTCCTCCTCTCAAGCAACGAGGACCACAAGATAGTAATGTTTGGGTAAACCGCCCTCAGATCAGCAAAATCGTCGAAAATGTTCCATCTCAAGTCAATAGCTTTGCGGTACGCTAGGTCGTTTTCCCCCAACTGGATAACCAGTGCATCAGGTGGACCCTCATAGGCGGCTCTCGCCATTACAGCTGGCTTGAATTCACTCCAGCGCATGCCCCTTCGCGCTATCCACACCAGCTCCACATTTGCAGGCAAGCTCAAGTTCAGACCCAACCCGGTACACATGGCACGATTCTTGGCCCAGTGCATGATGCTGTGGCCCACCAACCAAATGCACACCCGCTTGTATTCTGAAAAGCAAATAGACAGAAAAACCAAGGTCAGGAGAACAATCGCTAGTCATAGGTTCTTTCTCACATAAGCTTTGTATGCGTTAGATTTCCACCGCCCTAAGTCCTTTATCCTCTCTGCGGAGAGCCCAAGGTGCACTGCAGTGGTCGCTGCCCCGATCTGGAAAGAGTGAGCCGCGAATTCAGCCGCGGGCAGTCCGCATGCTGCCAACGCCAAGCGCATCACCCGCGTAAACTGATGCCTGGCCAAGAGCGATCCATTCGCGTGAATAAACAAGGGGCCGGGGCTATTGGGTCTTAAGTAGAGAAAACGCCTCGTATCCCTAACCGGACAGGGACCACTAGCTTGTGCGGCTGGTAACCGCAGGAGGGCCCCCCTACCCTGTTGGTCCGTCTTAGAGCTCCATACTTGAATTATTAGGTCGGTCTCTGATAGGGTCAGATCACTTAAGAGGATGCCCCTCTGGCAGTGGGCAACCCCTCCCTCGCAGACTACCTCACCTATGCGCAGGGCACCAAAGAAGGCTATGGAATAAGCGGCAGAGAATAGGCAAGCTTCATACTTTGACCAGCATATTTCTCGTAATTTTTTGTGTATCTGGATCAGAATATCATAAGTTATGGGCCTCCTCTTGTCAGAGCTGGGGGGCTGTTGCCGGCACCAACCCTCCAAAGTCTTACGCACGATAAATTGCGCGCACGGGTCGGTGGCGAAAAAGGCTTTACAGAAATAGGAAATCCCAGCGGACTGAATATTGAGAGTCTTTGGTGCCCTGCCCAGCTCCTTCAAATGGGTTAAGTAGCGGAGGACCTCCTTCGTTGAGGGAATCGAATTCTGCCTAGTGCTGGGCATTCTGCTGCGGAACTTTAAAAAGTCAGCCCAAGCCTTCCTGTATGATCTCATTGTGGAAGGGGCAACTGCACCGAATACTCCCTTCATCACTTCCTGTTCCCAAGGCTCCAGAGATGCTCCGGGAAAGACATCAATGATTGCTCCGCATCCGGCGCTAATGAGCGGAAGCGCTCCATCTGAAAACGAGACAGAGCATCCGCGATGTCATTATTAATGCCAGGTACGAATTTGGCAGAAAAATATATATTCTGTTCCAAGCAAAGGAGGACGAAGGACCGTAACAAGTTTCCTACCCTGGTGGAGCGCGCGGACTGTCTAGAAAGAACTGCTACTACTGCCTGGTTATCTGTGTTAAAACAAACCCTGTGATTGCGGAACTGCTCTGCCCAAAGATGCACAGCTACCACGATAGGGAAAAATTCCAAGAATGTAAGGTCCCGAGTAATGGGCTGTCCCTGCCAGTCTGCAGGCCACTTTTGGGCACACCACTGGCCCCTGAAATAAACTCCAAAACCCAATGAACCTGCTGCGTCCGACTGAACTTGGAAATCAGCGTCGAGTGCCATGGAATCCTGCCACAAGGATATACCGTTGTACTTGTCGAGGAATTGTAACCAAATTCCCAGATCCGCCTTGACTTCTTTGGAGAGGCGGTCCCCGGGCGTGCCTGGCCTTAAGTAGGCTAGGCCACGCCTCCCCAGCCCGCCGATTGGCGGGTCGGGTCGCAGGCACGCCCGGGGATTCCCTGGATCTCTCAGGGGCAAAAGGCCAGCCCCCGCGTGTGTGGGAGGGGGTCACCCGCAACCCCCTCTCCTCCCAAGGTCGGAAATGGCTTACTCTGAGTTGAACTACTCCATGTTAGACCATCATGAAACATGGAGGTTTATTTAGCAATCATGGCTAATGGCAGCTGATAGAGCCACCCTTTAAGGACCTAAGAGAATCATGAATCAGATCTAAAGTCCACAGAGACATGAAAAACTTCCTTACACCAGGTCAGGCCATCTGTCCACCCAGCTCAGTAGTGTCTACACTAAGTGGCAACAGATCTCTGGAGTTTCAGACCAAAGACCTTCTCAGTCTAACTGCAAATTCCAAGGATTGAACCTAAGACCTTCTGCTACCAAACAACAAGGTTGTAACTAGCCACTCAGAGTGAACCCAATGAAATCAATATGCTTACATTAGTCATGCCCATCAATTTCAATGAACCTATTCTGAACAGAAGCAATATTGGATATAACACACATTCTCTGAGCCCAGCTTTGGCTGGGGAGGGTGGGATACAAATAAAAAACTATTATTATTATTATTATTATTATTATTATTATTATTACTATTACTATTATTATATTTATATATATATAATTTTTATTAGTTTTTTAAACATATCATTTTCAACAGTAATTAAACATACTTTTACATCTTAATCAAATTTTTGACTTCCATCAATCCTGTCTGAAAATTTTCCAATCTAATCTCTCAGTATGCATTTCTTATCTTCCTTATTACATTTCAAATTCATAACCAATATCTCTATCATTTTCTACTTTGTAACACTTCGTATATTTCGCCTTACAAAACTTCTTGTAGTCCTACTAGCGTAATTTGTTGATTACAGTTGCTCTTCAAATAATTCATATACTTCTTCCAATCTTCTGTAAATCTCTGGTCCCACAGGTTTCGAATCCTTCCTGTCATTTTGTCCAATTCTGCATAGTCCATTAATTTCGTCTGCCATTCTTCTTTCGTCAGAATTTCTTCTTGTTTACATTTCTGGGCTAACAATACTCTTGCCGCAGTTGTTGCATATAAAAACAATTTAACATCTTGCCTGTTAATGTCCTGACCTATAATATCAAGTAAAAATGCTTCTGGTTTTTTTAAGAATGTATATTTCAACATGTTTTTCATCTCATTATATATCATTTCCCAGAAGTTCTTTACTTTTTTACATTCCCACCACATATGATAAAATGTTCCTTCTTTTTCTTTACATTTCCAACATTTATTATTTGTCTTATACATTTTAGCTAATTTCACTGGTGTAATATACCATCTATACATCATTTTCATCATATTCTCTTTCAAAGCATTACAGGCTGTAAATGTTATCCTTTCATTCCACAACCTTTCCCATTCTTCAAGCTGTATATTATATCCAAAGTCTTTTGCCCAATGTATCATTACCAATTTCACTTCCTCATCTTTCAAATGCCATTCCAACAGTATTTTATACATTTTAGACATTGTTTTACATTCATTGTTTAATATTTCTATTTCAAATTTTGATTCTTTTATCATCAAATCCTTTTTCCTTTAAAGCCTCTTTATATATTTCATTGACTTGGCGATAGTGCAACCAATCATTTACATATTCTTTAACTTCTTCATATGATTTCATTTTCCATTTATTTCCTCCCCCCCCCCAATTTCTCATAGGTAACCCAATTTTTACTCATATTTATCTTTTTCACACTCATAGCTTCTAATGGAGATAACCACCATGGTGTTTTACGTTCTAATAAGTTTTTATACCTGTCCCATACTTCATATAAAGATCTTCAAAATATGTGATTACCAAATCCTTTATGGATTTTTGTTTTATTATACCATAGATATGCGTGCCAACCAAATCTATTGTCATAACCTTCCAAATGCAACAAATCTGTATTTCTTAACAGCATATTATTATTCTTATAGCACTAAGTTAGGGCGCTTGCCTCCAGGAAAATCTTAAAGCAGGACCTGAAGGCAATTTCCTTTCCTGCTTCTCTTCATTAACTTGCATTAAGTAGCAATTCAGTAACTTGCATTAAGTCTCTTAATCTGAAAACTGTATACAGTAGTATAGTAAGCCCGCATCTTACATAGGAGTTAGTTCCAGCGATCTCGCCTAAAGCCAAAATTGTAAATTGGGTTCAATGGCAGGCAGGATTGCCAAAGTCATTTTTCGCGGAACACCATGCCCTATTCAAAAAAATTTTTTGCCACACATGTAAAGCTGAATGTGCACAAGTTAAATGTGCATAAGTTGTAGGTATACTATACTGCCACTGGGGACTGCCTGGTTGGCACTGATCCATAGCAGGGCCTTCTCTGTGGCAGTTCCCTATTTGTGGTATGCCCTCTCTGGTGAGGTGCTTCTGTCTCCCTTGTACTGTAGCTAACTTTCAGGAGGAGTTTAAAAAATGTGCAAAAATGCCTATGGCTGAATGATGTTATTCATAGCAACCCAAACATCACTAGTTCAGAGAATATTTTTAACTGTTTTTATAACTTTTAATTGATGTGTCTGCCACCATGGACTCCTTGAAAGGAAGGGAATGATATCTGCCTTTTAACTTACCATGGTTTTCAATTATCTTTTCAATGCTTTTAAACAGTCATTTTAAATGTTTTAACTGATAATAATATTGCCTCATTCATTTTACTACAAACAAATCTTGTGAAATAAGCAGGATATAAATGGAGCAACAAAAACATAACTTCCATGACTAGTGATCTCCCCTCACCTTTCAGCCAACAAACACATGCACACTTTATCCCCACAATAACACTGTGAGGTAGGCTAAAAGAGAACGACTGGCCAAAGGACACCCAATTGAGCGGCTACGGCTGAGTGAGGATTTGAACGCAGATTTTCCCCTGTCCAATGCTCCTAAATAACAACTACCACAATCTCAATGACGGCTGCCCCGCTCCGCTCTCTCAAGGGTGCCCTTTAAAGCCGTGCAGGTGCAGAGGGTGGGAGGAAGCCTGGAAAGGGAAACGAAGCCCTTACAAGGGCGCCACGCTGAGGGAGGAGGCCACGTACCTGTGGAGGGGAGGAGCAGATGTCATCGCTCTCCATGGCTGGGTCTCCACAGGCAGCCAAGGCAGCCTCCGGGGAGGGGAGAATGGAAAGGTGGGGGGTAAGGGGAGGAGGTGCTAATGGTTCTTTTCCCTGAGGAGAGAACCCTGCAGGCGTGGGTGGTGTCAAGGGGCAAAGTTCACAGGGGAGGTCAGGAGGGGTTACTTCCGTTTGGTGGTTTTAACGTCATTTCTGTCTAGAAGGTTTCATACTACAGTTACCTTTCCCAAGCTTGTGCACTCTCTGACTTTTTTTGGACTACATTTCCCATCAGCCCAAGTAGAGCAGTCACACTGGCCAATCAAAATGGCGATCATCCTTAAGGTTATAATCCTTGTGCGTCCCCTCCCTCCTAGAAACCTCCAGACCGAGACCCTTTTAAGTAAATTTTGACTCTGATTGGTCCTGAGCCTCCCCTCCAATAATCTGTCAGAGAATTGGACCTCCCCTCCAATCCTCTAATTGGTGAAATGAAAATATGGAAGACAGCGATTGGCTATGCGCTTATTAGCCAATGAGAACAAGCGGCATTGTGTGCCTGAGAGAAGGGGGAGTAGTGCTGTGAGGTAAAGTAGGCCAGAGATCAACGAGGCTCAGGTCCTTTCATTTCTCCTTAGCAAGCACTCGCCTATCTATTCATGGGGCTGTTGAGTGAAGTGACGCGGGGCCTGGTGCGTGGCACAGACCGCACGGCTGCCTGGATGAGCAAGCGGGGCCCGCAAAGTTTCTACAAGAGCTGCGGTGCACACCCCTTGGGCTACCTAACGTGCAGCCAGAAGTTTAAGCTGGTGCCGGAGAAGGTGCCATGCCTGGTGGTGCCGGACCTGAGCGGCTTCAAGCTGAGGCCTTACGTTTCCTACCGGGCCCCCGCTGGCAGTGAGCAGCCCCTCACGGCCCGCGCCCTCTTCCAACAGATGGTCGCCTCCAAGATTGAGAAGGACGTCAAGGCCTGTACCTTAAGCCTGCAGCAGCTGGAGAAGTATGGCTTCGAGCCGACCCAGGAAGGCAAACTCTTTCAGCTCTTCCCCAAGAACTTTGTGCACTAGGATGGCGTTGCAAGTGGAAGGAAAGCTGGTGTGACTTCCACACATTTATTAAGCAACAAAAAAATTAAGAAAAGTTTTTAAAAAACACGAAATATTCACTCTTCGCAAAACATTTCAGCTCTTAAAAGGAGCAAGACGCCAAAGGATTGGAGCTAAGTGGAAACTCTGGGGTATCTTCAAGAAGTTCCTGCTTTCTTTTCATTGATGCTTGAGTCATCTCAGAGGGCTGGGTGAGCAAGCAAGGAATGTAGAAAGCCAGAGGAGCACCACAATTTTGCCAGCTGCTGTGTTGTAAAACTATAAGGGATACATCACACATGTCAGGGAATTGGAGGCAGAGAAGGGGGAGAGAATGGGGACTTACAGAGTTAAGCCTCCGTTACTTAGCAGCTGTACTTCCTTGGACGAGGAGGGTGACAAAGGGCTGCCAGGAAGCAATGAATCAGAGAGGGGGGAGCCACTTCAAGGGCCCAGCCACTCTCGTAACAGAGGAAGGAAGGGGGTTGGGTTCAGGAAGTGGATATGCTGGAAGAAATCGAAAGCTGATTCAGTCTCTGCAACTGACTCACCATGATGCAGGCTGACCCTCAGAGCTCTTTGTAAATAGCAAGAAGAAACCAATAAATCTTGTAAATATGGCTGGATTCCCGGACTCTTATCTCTGCTAGCACTCACCAGTCATCCCTGACAGCTTGCAGAGACTCATATGCCGGGTGCTAGTAGGAGAGAGCAGATAAGAGCAATGGAGAAGCAACTGGCTGATTTACAGCAATGCAACGCCGGTCTGGAGGCTCGGGCAGAGGAACTGCGTGTCAGATTGGAGGAGAGTCGAGCGCATCAAAGAGAAGCGTGAGGGGACCTGCTGGGAAGAAAAATGCCTATGCTGGTGCATAAATTTAACGGGGATCCTCAGGAATATTTGGGGTTTAAAACGGAGATGAAATATGCCCTAGAACTGCAGTGGGCTGATTTTGCTAATGATGCGCAGAAAGTTGCTTTTCTAATTAGCCACTTATCGGGCCCGGCTAGAGATTGGGTCAGGCCACTGATAGCAGCTAATAACGATGCTCTTCGGGACTTGACAAAGTTCTTTGAGGCAATGGACGTCATGTTTACACATGAGAGTCAAGTTGATATGACTCAGCAGGAGCTCTTGGCTTTGAAGCAAGGCAATTTGACTGTGCGCAGTTACTGGTCCCAGTTCGCAATGCTGGTCCACAAGCTGGGGTGGGATTTGAGTTCAGAACCAGTGCAGGCTCTGTTTAAGGCCGGGCTGAATTCTGAAGTGAAAGATGAGCTTGCCAGAGGGCCTCAACCCCAAGATATGGACGCGCTAACCAAGGCTGCTTTAGCAGTGGGTCTCAGACAGGAAGCCCATTTGCTGGAGAGAAGGCAGAGCAGAGGGCGGTGTTTCCATGGAGATCGCATTCTTAAGATGCCGGCAGAGGCTACTGAAGGTCAGAGTCAGCCAGAGCCCATGGAAATTGACTCAGCCCGCACGCAGGAACATTCAAAGGCCCAACTGCCGAGCAAGAAGGAGGGAAAGGACTGGCAGGCGGCCAAGAAATGTTTTTTATGCCAGCAGCCAGGACTCTTTGCCAAAGTGTGTCCGGAGCGTCGTAACTGGCAGGGAATGGTGGGGGCTGCGCCACAGGGAGAAGAGGAAGTGCCCAAGGTGCAGGGAAACGGGAGGGCCTGGCTGGTGGTGAACCGGGGCAACAGCCAGGCAGCAGCAGCAGCAGCAGCAGCAGCGAAGAGCCCCGACCAGGGCACTCCAAACCGGGCATAGTGGTGAGGGTGTTGCTGGAGCTCCCAAATGGCCACATGATGGAGGTCCACGCTCTAGTGGACTCAGGAGCCAGTGCCAATTTCTTCAGCAGGGATTTTGCTGCGCAGCACCAATTGCACCTTCGGCCTTTGGATTTTCCTCTGCAAGTGACCACTATTGATGGAAGGGAACTTTTGGGAGGGGAATTGACCCATCAGACTCCTCCCATGAGAATGCAGATTTCTACGCACTCCAAGACCATCGCTTTCCACGTACCCACGTTGGCTGGTCCGCCCATTATTCTGGGTATGAGTTGGTTGGCCTTACATGATCCGGTGGTTTCCTGGCACCAGCGGTCCCTGACTTTCGGGTCGGCACACTGTTTGGAGAATTGCCTGGGAGTAGGGGAACCTTGAGTCAGGGGGCCAAGATGGCGGCAACGTGCATGGGAAGGAAAGACGGAATCCCTCCGCAATACCGAGACTTGGAGGAAGTGTTCAATGAGAGGGAGGCCAACACGTTACCGCTGCACCGGCCATACGATTGCCAGATTAACCTGGTCCCGGGGGCCAAGTTGCCAGTGGGGAAGCTGTATTCCATGTCTGATCAAGAGATGCGGGAGTTGAAAGACTTTATTGACAAAAACTTAAAAAGGGGATTCATCAGGGAATCCAAAGCTGTGGGTGGCAGCCTGGTGTTCTTTGTGGACAAGAAAGCTACGAGCGAGAAGAGACTTGTAGTGGATTTCAGAATTCTCAACTCCTTGACGTAACCCGTGGCCTTCCCCATGCCGAGAATCGACGACGTTTTGGCGAGAGTGCGGAAGGGGAAATTTTTTACTAAGCTGGACCTCCGGGGGACGTAGAATCTCATCAGGGTGCGAGAAGGCAACGAGTGGAAAACCACCATGTTTACCCCGCTGGGGGCGTTCGAATATCTCGTCATGCCTTTCGGCTTGTAAATAGCTGGGGCCGCTGCTGTATCGTAACTGCGTTTGTATTTATTACAAAGACCCCAGCTATTTACAAAGACTCTCAGAGCTCTTTGTAAATAGCAAGAAGAAACCAATAAATCTTGTAAATATGGCTGGATTCCCGGACTCTTATCTCTGCTAGCACTCACCAATCATCCCTGACAACACACATACCAAATCTTGTGGACGCAGTCATGCAAGCAGAGCAGGAAGAATTTATGCAAGTCCCAAGTGTTGGTGGTTTTCGTTTGCGTTATGTTTTTGGAAATGCTACTCAGTGGAACAATTTTACTGGATTGTTTGGAAGTTGGCATGTATAGCTTGTGAATCTAGGCCTCCTATCATGGATAGATATTAAAGAGGCTGAGGAAGCAGGCAGTAAACACTGATCATCTTTTTGTTTAAATAGTTTATAAAATGTAGAGGCTCATTCTCTTTCTCTGCACAAAATGGCTGTATAGGCTCTAAACCTTTGTTTTGCTGCATAGCAGGCAATAAACTTTCAACTAGGTAAGCTGCCTATTCAGGAAAGCCCTTCAAGGTATGTCTTCCTGACCACTGAATTGATTGAAGTGACACAATCTACTTAACAATGGGATAATCCTGCTCTAGAAGCAGTGTTCCTGAAAATAATTCTTGGGAGTCCATTATTACTGTTATGCTCCATTAGGGAGGAAAGGGCCAGTCTGCTTCTGCAGCTGCAAGGAACTAGTTTGCAGGCTAATGCCTCACATGAGACATTGTCTGAAAGCACACAAGACTTTGGTGAGGGCCTGAAGGAGTGGAAATAAGTATGCCACCTTGGGTTTTATAATGGAATAAAGGCAATATGTAAATGTATAAAATAAAAATTATAGCATTAATTTGACTCTGGTTTGCCAGAAGTGGCTTAGTCATGCTGGCCACATGACCCAGAAGCTGTACGCTGGCTCCCTCTGCCAATAAAGCGAGATGAGCGCCACAGCCCCAGAGCTGTCCGCGACTGGACCTAATGGTCAGGGGTCCCTTTACCTTTTAAGGCATCATGTGGTGGCAAGCAACAATACAAACATATCCCCAACACTCACAGTAACTTAGGTCCTACACCCAAAGACTACAACAATGAACAATTGGAAGGTTGTAACCAACAAAAGACATAACACTTTATTTTAAAAAGATCAAAAATATTTTAAAATTTTGTTTACAATACTGATGTGCATATTTATACATAAATACCCTACATTGTAGTGTCTCAAATTATAAGTCTCCTTCAGCATTAATTTATGCGGCATTGAGGAACTTGCAAGGGCCATATCAGGGTTTCAGGCAAGTACCCCACTCTTAGCACTGATTGTTACTGGTGTTGTTCACTTCTGTGATATGGAAATGCATGAGTAACTTGCATCCCTTTTCCCCTTAGCTTATGTGTTCCCAGTAACATATTCAACCAAACATGAAGCATAAAGCCAGAGTTATACTTTGCCTTTCCTGTGAGGGGGAGGTAGACAACAGAAGCATGAAACAGGTGCTGCTCTATATTTTAGAATTTCCCCTCCCTCCTCCTCAAGTTCTTAACTGAGAAGAGTTCTCCATTTAGATGGCTACTGAACAATGAGGCAAAATAAGAGACACACACATGCTGCCACTTATTTTCAGCTGGTGTCGAGAGAAAAGTAGCCTGGATGTGTTTACCCCAAGAGGGGCAAAATAGTATGGAATAGCTTTTCCTTGCTGCATAATAGATAGCAAGTCAAGTTTACTTCACTGGAAAAATAGGAGAGAATAATAATAATAATAATAATAATAATAAATTATTTATATCCCGCCCTCCCCAGCCGAAGCCGGGCTCAGGGCGGCTAACAACAATAAAACAGTACAAAAGTACAGCATAAACAACATTCTAAAATCATTCATTATAAAATTAATTAATTCAAGCCACTGGCAACCATTGGGCCAGAGCTCCGCGAAGATTGTCAAGGGAGGGAGTCAGGCTGTGCCCTGGCCAAAGGCCTGGTGGAACAGCTCTGTCTTGCAGGCCCTGCGGAAAGATGTCAAGTCCCGCAGGGCCCTGGTCTCTTGTGACAGAGTGTTCCACCAGATCGGAGCCACAGCCGAAAAAGCCCTGGCTCTAGTTGAGGCCAGCCTAACTTCTCTGTGGCCTGGGACCTTCAAGATGTTTTTATTTGAAGACCGTAAGTTTCTCTGTGGGGCATACCAGGAGAGGCGGTCCGATAGGTACGAGGGTCCTAGGCCGTATAGGGCTTTAAAGGTTAAAACCAG